AGTAACCATGGTACTCCAGAATCTATCACAGTCGATGAAGAAGAGAAAATTTTTCTACTCGTACTCGTCGGTTAAGTGCGGCAACGGGGGTAAGCCAATCGTCCATTTGTAGAATTTTGAAAAAAGAAATGCTCCATCCATATCATTATACTCCGGTTCAGCAGTTATTGCCTCAAGATTTACCAGCTCGCCTACAATTTGCTCAGTTATACAAAATATGCAAACGGAAAACCCAGATTTCCTCAATAAGATTTTATTTACTGATGAGACGACATTTACCTACTAGACGAGGAATTTAAATTGGAAGAACAATAATTGTGAGATTACGCATGCTGTAAAAGAAAGACATTTTCAGCATGAGTTCAAGGTGAATATTTGGTGTAGTTTAATTTCTGTTTTTTTCATAGAACCTTTTGAATTGCCACCCAATCTAACTGGACCTCACTATTTAAACTTTCAACATAACTTAAACGAGCTTCTAGATGATATACCACTCGTTTTAAGAGAGAGTATGTGGTTTATCCACGATGGTGCACCACCACATATTGCCTTACCAGTACACCAGTATTTAAATGAACATTTTCCTCATCGATGGATTGGCCGTGGGAATGAATTTAGTTGGCCACCAAGAACTTAAACCCTCTGGACTTCTCAGTATGGTCAAACTTGAAGGATGTGGTGTATCGTGAAGAAATTAATTCTGTTGAGGAGTTGCGGCAGAAAATACAAGTAACCGCAAATGCATTTAAAAATAATAGTGACAATTTGTTTAATATTCAGAGACATTTAAGAGTGTATAATAAAATGTATTGAGGTAGGTGGTGAACAGTTCCAGCATTTGATTTACGGTTTGTTATTATTACTATTATCAATAATTGTTATTGTTATTTTCATCTTTTGAGAATAAAAATCACTACAAAATACATTGGAACCTTTAAAAGCAAATAATTCAGAAACCGATAAAGTTAGGCGACTTAAACAAGAGTACATTTTTTATGTAGAATTGAACGTTCTTTTAGATTATTAGCTTTTTCTAAGCATAGCTCAACAGATTAAAAAAAATATGTTCTGATTTACCTAAATAATACGGTGAAACTAGCGCCCTCTAGGAGCAACGTCAAAATAAGCTTCAAATTCGTAATTTTCACACCAAAAAAACCCAACACTACCAATTTTCAGAGTCATGCTATCAAAACTTTCTGAATTATTAAGAAATTTCAAAATAAAATTTAAACTTTAAACACCCTGTATTTCTTAAACCAGCGACATTCGTATAATGCATGATGAGCTCAAACATAATATTTTGGTGTCTAGTGTCTCCAGTTTACTGTTGACCCATTCTTTCTGACTCACCCTGTATATTCCAT